CTCGATCGCAACATTTCATTTGAAAGAAAACTTAAGTCATGTTGCGTCTGGAAGCGAGTTATGAAAATGATGACTGTGAAGAATTGCTGCATAATGATATTCAGTAACCAACATGCTGTTCTTCACTGCATCCAATATAAGGAGGAAACGTCATACTTACATGAAATGTTTCTCTTGTACCAACTGTTGTTCGAGCGCGGATGAAGAGGAAGATCCTGATACAAAGGCAGCAAGAGAGAAGGAGCGCAGGCAAGCCAACAATGCACGCGAGAGGTGAGTGGAGAGCAAACACGCAAACGCTGCCCTTCTGATATTTTAAGTTGCGTGGCCAATAGAATGCTGTCATGTAATTAATTTGTGCTTTGTACTGATTTCTGTTGTTAGTGGTTAATGAAAAGAAATAATCCTCTGTATTTCAGGAATTATGTCCGTGCAACGCGCGGTTTTATAGAATTGGCATGTTTTGTGTGTAAGAAATATTATTGTTCCACAAAACTTTGTGTGGACTTTGGCTCTAAGGTTGTACAGAATTTTTCACAATGGAAAGTTTTGACTTTTTGTTGTGTATGTGTTGTGACTAATCCATTCTGCACCCACAAAATGTAAATACAGCCTCTTTAGTTTATACTAGTCCATTCTGCACCCACAAAATGTAAATACGTCCACTTTTGTTTCTACTAGCCATACATGTGCTGCTTTATTACATTATAGCATTCATGTGGCCTGTTTGTTGGTCGTGCATGCAACTTAATTTTGTTGTATTAGTGTTTCTTACAGCAGTGTGTGTGGTAAATGAAAAATTAAAATATTCAGTGAACTTCTTGATAAGATTACTTTGCTTAAAAGAAATTTATTGACATTCCAAGCACAAGGATCCGGTGTTTTATGCTTTACTTTGAATCTTGTAACAAACCAAAGTAAAATTATTCTCTCGCTGTATATTATCCCTTTTGCTCTTTGCAACTTTTCTGTCATGTTTGATGGTATCCTTGATTGCTCAGTGGAGATTTGCAGCCTTAATTAGACGATGGTACAGCCAAGTCACTGTGGTGTTCGAACCATTTAAATGCCTTTATTTATATATCACAGCTTCTTTTCAGAATGAATCGAACACTGCTTGAGCAAGCTGTTGAATTGCATTGCAGTAATGTTGAACATCGTCTGCTGTTTCATTTAACCTTGATATTCCTTGCGTCACTTGTTGCCTTGCGCTGCCCAACCCTGCGTCACTCTAGAATACCACTAAACCATTAATCGCAGAAACTTTGACAGGTTTGATTTGCCTTTTGTTATTACTTGTTATTGTACTGACATCGATGTTAGTTTTATTTTTTGTATCTGTTTCTGTGATTGGGACCAAACTCCGTACCCTGGTGGTTTACCGTGGTTAGTATACAAATTTAATATTGAGAGGGTTCTGGGTTCAGTCCTGACTGTTGTTTCTATTATCGAAAATGAAAGTGAATCAGTCTGTGCAATTAAAAGTCGCTCGAAGATGGACTAAAATTATATTGCATATCAAATATACAGTACTTCAGACAGTGGACACTGTCCAGCGTATGAAATTGGTAATTGTCAACAGAAATTCTGAACCTGTAACTCATAGGTAAAGTGAGGAGAACTGCACTGGAGCCAATGTCATAAGGATGTGATTGTTCATATTGCACAGTTATATTTGTGTTTGTAAACCAACTACAGTGAAACACAAATCTAATGCCTTCTGCATGTCTTGCAGTGTGGCGCCTTCACTCACAAGGTTTTGCTATGCGATCTCAAGTACAATTTTTACAGTGTTCCTTTTGGACTGGGACAGGGGGGAACATAAGTAACTAGTATTTTTTAAGAACTTGATCAGTACCAAGATTCTCCAAAGTATTTCTGGGCTGATAAATATTTTACTGTTTCCATGTAAACATTGCTGCATACCTACTGCTCAGCTGTCCATCTGTCTGCCTGCAAAACGTCTGGTTCCTAAACACATTTGTCAAAATCTAGCAATGTAATGTTTTCAGTTTGTAGACTTTTTGTCTGAGAATTATTCAAAATGGTGGGGGGGTGTAACTGTAACTTCTGTTCATGGCCTTCGGTGATACATAAATTAGAGGAATTTTTAAATTTATTTTTTTATTGAATCACATTATGAACTTCTCATATTTGTGCACGACAGTTTTAAAAGTTATGCGTTAGGAAACCAGTTAAAAAAATTTAAGCAATGTGTATTGTTATTCTTCATGAAATGTTGTTTATGCAGAGATTTGTTATTTGTTCTTTATTCAGCCCATGTTCTCCAATGATCTCTGTCATGTTGGAAATATATTTAGCTGCATCAATTCACAATCTAGCAGAACCATTTGCATGCATAATTTTTTTTATATGGAATGTGATTTTGTGAACAATTGCATTCTTGTGAATTCTTTCAACAATTTATCTTGTCAAAATACCAGTAAGGTCATGCTGAAGGAAGAGGACTTAGTGGTGTTTTTTTTTAAATTTCTTATTTTAACACTAACTAACTAGATGGCTTACCGAACCCGAAGATTCATCACCGAATTAACCAAAGCCCTCCACCGGACCCTGTCCTGGGCCAACAAAATCCACTCTCCTTCAACTCCTATCTCCCATAGATCCTGCCTGACATTATCCTCCCATCTACGTCTAGGTCTCCCCAGCGGTCTCTTCCCCTCAGGCTTGCCAACCAGTACCCGGTGCACACCTTCTGTCCCATCCATGCGCGCTACATGCCCCGCCCATCTCATTCTTCTCGATTTAATCACCCTGGCAATATTGGGGGAAAAGTACAGATTTTTAAGCTCACTTATTTTAACACTACTTTTTTTTAAAGAAAACACATCAGAAGCTGTGAAGATTGGTAAGTTCATATCGTTTATCCCAATGCAAACTCCACTGACATGACACAAAGAACAGAAAATGTCTTTTATAAACAGCGTGTTTCCTTTTCCATTTTAAAGTTAGAAATACATGATATTGCAGTTTTTTATCTGTGCTGTTTTTGGGATTCTTGTTAAAGAAATGCAAATTGAAACTAAATTGAAATAATGGGGTTGTCTTAACCCAGTGTTTTATTTGTACTGTTCAATTTTACAAGTAAACAATGGCAATTTGCCCGAGAAGGAATGATAATATTGAAGATGGCTGTCTCCTGGGATGTTGTACCATGTAGTTTGGTAGAAGCTTATCAGCATTTTAGAGGCGCTTGCTTTCTCTGTCACAGGGTGATGAGAGCCCTAATTGAGGCAGCAAGCACCTCTAAAATGCTGATAAGCTTCTACCAGACTACATGGCACAACATCCGAGAGACAGTCATCTTCATTCTCATGGCTTTTAGAACCTGAACTCTCAAAAAGGATAATATTAATGGTACACGTGACACAAAATAGTCAGTCAGCCGAACTGAAAGACATTGTCTGTTCTTTCTGTCACAGGATACGGGTGAAAGACATAAATGAGACTTTTCAAGAGTTGGGGCACATGTGCATGGTGCATCTTAAAACAGACAAAGTCGAATCCAAACTTAATATTCTGCACCAAGCCGTTGAGGTTATAACCGCATTGGAGCAGCAAGTACGAGGTAGGACGTGTGAAACAAGTGACTCGACACGCTCGCCATTCACAGGGTCTGTTCCGCGGTTTATTGTATTCTTGCTATTCCGTCACAGAAGTGGCAAAGGCACTTCTTACCGCGGTATTTAAATTGAAACGAATTGTTACAGTGGCTGTCAGGCATTGTGAATGGCAGGCATGTCGATGACCAGGGTGTCTTGCGATTGCTGTATGTGGTGTGTACTTATAGGATACGGATCCGGGACATCAATGAAGCACTGAAGGAGCTTGGGAGGATGTGCATGACACACCTCAAGACAGACAAACCCCAGACGAAGCTCGGCATCCTCAACATGGCCGTCGAGGTCATCATGAACTTGGAGCAGCAAGTCAGAGGTCTGCTGTAGTGATCTGATTGACAGTGCATTTAGTTCGTAATAGAGAATATAAGAAGACATGTATATTATTTCTTGAGAACGCAATTTTTCATCCATTCATTGAATGTGGATTTTGGAAGGTAAAAGGTATCCCAAGTAAATAAGGTTCACCTTTATTCTGGTGTTTATTGCATAGGGAAATTCTTACGAAATACTTGATTCCATTTATTTTTATGTCTTTAATTATTGTTGGTCATACTGTTTTGGTTTGATGTAGTACAGCCACATTATTTTTGGAAAGAAGTACCTGAATAGGTCTTGAGCAGGAAGAAACATTTTTGGTGCCTTCAGAAAGTTTGCTTGAAACAGTGCTGAATATGTGCCAAAACATTGAATAAACTAATATGTTATGTACATTATATGACTGAGTAGATTTTAATCGAGTATAAGAATGTAGTAGAATTCTGCCTCAAAGGTGCACTAAATCAAAATTTTGCTGTTCTTCTCCCCTCTCCTATAGAGCGGAATCTGAACCCTAAAGCAGCTTGTTTGAAGAGACGAGAAGAGGAGAAAGCAGAGGATGGTCCTAAGCTGGCAGGACATCACCTCGGCCACCCGGGACCACCCCACATGACACAGCCACCTTTCCCAGCAATGCCAGTAAGCGAATTTGAGTATTAATTGAAAATAAAATTCTCGTTCATGTCAGATGAATAACATACTCAAATGTATTTGTAGTCTGGTAATGTTTTTACATGAATAGATTATCAAATAATTTACATAACCCAGTATTAATTACAACATTATTTTCTCTTCCTTCTTCGCAGTCAGCCAACCTGAGTAATTGTCCACCCTGTGAAAATGTTTATTTTATTATTGAGTTTGTTGGTGCATTTTATTATGAACTTGCAGCTTGGTGTAAAATATATGCAGCATGTTTCAGTCTAATAAGAAATGTCAGAATCGTAATGGTTGATGATTTTCTTGATTCTCCTTCTCTCCTTTCTATGTCCTGTACCATGATGCTACGAAGTTAACGCCGGTTCTTTTTCTTTCTTAGGGTCCACCTTTACCACACAACCCATCTCAACCCCAGTAGCAGAGGGGGATGATCTTCGAACTCCCGCCATTTTATGATTCCAGGTGAAGACCATGGAATGGGACTTTCCATCAGGGGGTGGGAAAGTTATCATTTGCTGTGAATGACAGTGTGTGTGATGGAGCAACGCACAGCATGGACACAAACTGACGTGTCACTGGGGGAATGGACTATGTGAAGAATTTGTTTTTTTTTTTCATCCTTTAGAAGGGTGTTACTTAGGAAGGATTAACCTCTTCACCCCCCCATGACAGACGGTATTGGTATCGGCAGTCGATTTCCTATCTTAATCATGTAAGTATATCGGAAACTAAGGCACAATCATTGATCTTGGCCAGTACATCTAGAAGAGAGAAGAACATCAGTGTGTGTGTTACAGAGGAAAAAATGATGATAAAATCTCTTAATACGAGAAAACAATAATTCCTACCCCCTTGAGTTCAATGTTCCACAAATATATGAAAATATATATATACATATACTTTTTTCATGATGCCATTTACAAACATTTTCCTATCAGCAAATAATAGCCATATTATGATGTCCCAGTCCTATTATTATATTTTAACTTGAGCTGCCTTAACAAATAATCCCCTCCCCCTCCTGTCCTTTATTATGTACATTATCATATTTTATAGTTTTATTAGTAAGTGCGACAATATGAAAGAATGGTGAAAAAGTATGAAGACGATGTTTATTGTATGGAACGCAGCCTACCAACTGGAAGTGTTTAGTGTGTGAAAGATTATGGTGCAAGAGAAAGGAGTTAGAGTAGATAGTTGCCTTTATACAGACTTTTTCGGAAGAGTAATATAATTGTTTTGTTTTTTGTCTGAAAAAATTGGCACAGTTGAACGTCCCAAGAACATTATAGGAAAAAAAAATCTATTTGGAAAGATACAAATTATGAAGGTTATCTTCGGGTTAATTGTATAACAGTAATAAATATTTTAGAAATTACTCCTTTTTGTTTTGCTTTTTCAAGAAGTTGACAAACATTAGGCCCAAGAGTGATGGATATTGTGAAGTGATAAAACTTTTGAGACATTTTCATTAGCAAGGTATGTCTGCTTTGTAATTTTCCAGCACGAGCAATGAACGTGAACTGGATTTTCTGACCGGTATGTTGGGCATGTTACATATGTGATAAGCTGACAGGGCGTGGTTTGAGATGATTGTGTGGAAGGGGTTACAAAGATCTGGGGAGGGTGCTATTTTTATTTTCAATTATTACAACTTTTTCATTAAGTGGAAAAATACGAATTTGGTGAATTATAACTCTACCACGCAGAGAACATACACAATAATGAACTGAAGTAAGAATATGTTCAAGTAAGGCAGAAAATGGCCCACAGGTTTCAGAGATTAATTGGAAATATTAATCACCTCCACTTAATAAAATTATTGTAAAAAGTTTCTGCTTTATTCTTTTCAGCAATTTCCAATATAAGACAGCAATTTATGTGTATGGCCTACTTTTTGTGTTTACAACAACCCGACTTTCATTTGTTTTTCAGTAGGAGGCCATGACAATTCCAGAAAGTCTGTTTAGAGTGAATTATGAAGTCAACAATTTTATATTTATTTACAACTTGAAGTTAGGCTTGAAGAGTATTGGTGGATTTGTTTAAGTGTAATAATTGTATTTAAACCAGTTAAGTGATGGATAGAGGGCAGACTTCACTGATGTTGAGATTATTTGTGTGCTACATGCCTGTTGCAGCAAGACAGTTCTTTTGTTTGTTTTTTTCTCCTTGAGGTTTTGTTAATTTGTGCTTGAAATATACTTTCTTCTTGTTGCTGTGAAGTGGATTTCGTACTGGTAAGCTGTCTTTGCTTGAATGGGCAAATTTATTATTCATGGCAGTTTTAATGCTTAATTTATCTTGATTTGGTATGCTTTGAAGAACTGATGATCATTCATGGCTTTGCTGATTTTTTTTTTGGTTCTTTTACAGGCTATATTATGTAAAGTCATCATTTTTGTAAAAGTTTTATTGCTTTGTTTAGAAATGTATTGAATTTGGAACCAAGAAGCAAAGTGTGTGTTCCAACAAGAACTTTTGTGAGGTTATGTTACTGTAATCATAAATGCTTCCTTCATCTCTTGCCATAGACTGAGATTATTGAGATTGGTAAGTATAAATAAATAAAAAAAACCCAGAAAATGATAGAGTTGTGCCCATGTTCCCTAGAAGCTCCCTGAACTGCGGCCAGAAAGAATCTATGCTATGTCGTTCTAATTTGTAAGTTTGCTCAGTATGTAATTGTGGTATATTTAAACAATTATGATTTGTAATGGTTAGATTACTGTACATTTCTACCAGACTGCACAGTGCAAGATCCAAGAATTCATGTTCATTCTTCTCACTGTGATAACCTGAAGTTTCACGTAAGTTAGGTTTGTTTATAAAAATATTTGGCAATATTTAATGAATTTTTTTAATTTTCTATTTAGACTTATTTATTATCTTCGCATGTATTTGCGTCCTCCGGTTTCACTTTTATTGCGCTATCAGATTTTTTCAAAGTTATCGCATTAAATACGGTAAAACAGTGAAATGTGAGCATGCACACGTATGTGCCTATGTTTATCTGAATGTGTTCCAACTTACCCGTCTCATTTCACATACTTGAACCGACGTACTTATACTAAGAATCATTGTACTACAAGTAAATTTTTATTGAGATTTTCCATCTGAATTGTCAGTTCAGTCATTATATCCTGTATGTTGTCAAGTACGAAACTTCGGTATTGCGTGCAAGATTTCAGGTTGTTATGGCGACAAGTATTAAGATGGATGTCCTCTGGGATATTGCACCATTACTCTGGTAGATATTGATCAGCATATCAGAGACATTTGATGCCTCTATCGTCAGGGACTTAATTGTACAGCGTTCCAGAAATCATCCTATCTCCCCCCAAGATGGTTGTGCCCTGAAATGTTCACAACGATATATAGAATGATTATGTAGCCTCTTGCCTTTAGAAGGCTGTAATTTATTTGCGGGTACATTAAATATGAAATAGTGATGTTTTCAAGGTTTTTTTAGAAATTGGATTGTAATTTGACTAGTTTTAATTTGGATAAAATACTTTAACCCTTATTTTTAGAAATTGGATTGTAATTTGACTCGTTTTCATTTGGATAAAATACTTTGAACCCTTGAACGTCTGCAAAGGGCTTGTGTTTGTGAGGAAAATTCTTTGCAAAATTGACATCATACATGTTTGAGGCTATTTTTTTAAAATATCTTGTATAAAGTATACTTCTACATGTTATATCGTGTCATGAAAATGTTGAAATGGAATTAGAGAAATTAGGACATTTCCTAGTGTGCCAATGCTCTCGATTTGATAGTATTTTTATTAGCGAATCTGGTCACACTGTGCTACATAGTTTGTACAGTAAATGCAAAAATATTTGTTAATTGTACTTCAGAACCATTTAGTGTAGCTTATGGAGATTGATGTAGGCTCTAGTGTCTTCTGGCTTCAAATCATTGGTCTTGAATTTGGGCACAATTAAAATTATTTTCTGTTGCTTGTCTGATAGTTATGATTCGGAGAGGAAAGGAGCGTTAAAATACTTTGGTTTCTGAGATCTCATACATTATACAATGAATATTTTCTCAAAACCTCACAGCCTTGTACAGCAGCACTTTTGAAATGTTTGCCTATGCGGTTCATGGTAATCTTGGCTATATAGTGTAATATATTATGGGAAATTTTTCCCCCTTTAACGATATACAAAAACCAAGAAAATTTAATTTCAGCTCGACCAATAGAACATAGAATTTATAAAGGCTTATTGGTGAATGTGATGTATGATTTGTGTCCATACAGTACAAATTAGATACAGCTGTGCAAAGAGGGATGAAGTTGTTTTAGTAAGACGTCAAAAGGAATGCATGAAGAATTTCTCTTGGTGTGAAGCGGAGATATTCTTAAGAGTGTTTTCAGCTAATCATTGACATTTGTGCCTTGTCAGATATTTAATACTAGTAAAGTATTTGAAGCATCTGTTTTGTTCACGCAACTGCTTCTTGGTTTCATATGTGATATGGAAATTGCTGGAAAGCATTTGAACAAAGGTTATATATCTCTTTGTAAATTCATGGCAGTCCCATTGTCAAATGTTTGTATGTTATGTATAATTTTATTTCTGTGTTTAGTTTTTTTTTTTTTTGTTTGTTCTGACATTTCCCAAATGTATTTTAGGTAGCTAATGGTAGCTAAAAGATATAATCGCGAAATGCGTAATTGATATTTTTAATTTTTGTCTGTAGCATATTTAGACATGTTTTTAGTTCGCAAGTTGCATTAATATGTCTTAATGTTTACTTCTATTCATTATTATTTTTATTAATTTAATGTTATTATCACATCCTTCCTTCCAAAGTTATTAAGAGACAATTCGTACCAACTTTATTTATTTCTATTCTCTTAACAGGGTGGTGATCAACCTAAATTTTAAATAATGGTACAGCTTATTCATAATGCATATTAATATATCCATTGCAGCTGTACTTTGTGCATTTTGGACTGTAAGAGTTAATTTTATGTAACAGAAACAACTCTTCTAGACTGATTTTTAATAGTAATTATGGATCAGCATTTATGGGGATTTTACAAAATTGCTATTTTGTACATGAATATATTTGAGGTTTAGTATTTGGTATTTTCTAATTTTGTGACTTAAATTGATACTTGTTTTAAGCTAGAACAGACCCTCAGATTTAGTTGTAATAGCACTGTATAAAACACCACAAGTCCTTACTTCTTGTACGGAAGTGCTACCACCATCTGTTCATAGTTGTTTTCTTGTTGCAAGTGGGGTTGCCAACTGTCAACTCACATACGTGGATTTCGCTATGGATATATTGCATCCTGCAAGATTTTCTTTTATCCCTACATTAGTTTATTGTTGTCTCATCATCGTTAGTAGAAGGCTCTTTTAAATATTTGTTTAAAATATACTTGTCTAATAAAAAATTTATCACAGTAATTGAGAAGAATACAAATTTGATTATACTTTTAGTGGGGTCCTGATTTTTATCTTAAATTATGTGCATTTGGGCTGTATATGAAATATATCTTTTGGAACATTTATTGCCAGTTTTTCACAGTAACAATACAGAATGGGTTTTTGAAGGCGACATTGAAAAAAAAATATTTTGTGAACCGTGGTCTTTCAAGTTATTATGGCGTGTGATTCCCAGCATTTTGCAGGCACATATCACCACCTTCTTGAGGGAGGTGATACATCCCTCCAAAATCAGCATCACATCACAGAAGACTATTGATTAAGCCTTATATAAGCATTTATGTGATGTGGACAAAGCCTTGTTTCTCTCATCCTTTCAATTATACATGTAGTATGTGGAGAAAAGAAAATGGTGCAGACGAGTTCATTTAGAAATTTAGAACAACAAAAAATATAACCTGACAATTGACAACCAATGGGATATTAAGTTGTGTCAGGTATTAATTTTGGTTAAAGGCTGAATCAAAAATTTTGTTCACTGTTCTGTGAGAGTGACATATGGCATTCTTAAGATTTTATATTTGTATAAGGTGAGAATTTTGAACGGAAAGACGCTTGGTAAATGTTTTGTAATAGTAAGAAAGCTTTAGTTCATAAATATCTGCAAAACTTCATTGTTGGTATATGCAGTTGACAGTTGGCAATACTTATCCTTGCTGGTATCATCATTGTTCTTGCATTTCATTTGTTACTGTTCTGATTAAGAATGGCTTTAGGCAGCAAGTTCCCCAGCCTTACTCCGCGTTTAAAGAGGCGTTTAATGGTAATGGAACAATTAATCCAAATTTTTAACATCATAACTTTATAAAATGGTAACAGTGAATCAGTTGTGATAACTGATGATGAACCTGTTCTGTGTAATATATTATCACTATAATAGTATAATGTAATTTTCATTACGCTAGACAGCTCCACTAACTAAAACAAATTCTAGAGTGCTCTTATTGCTGCAAGGAGGATGCAGCGTCTCTTTCTTTCCTGTCCCTCTCAGTGGGAGCCTGTGTGAGTGGTGGTTTATTATTTTTCTGGTGCAAATATTTTCGGATCCTGCTTTAACAGAGAATACATAAAAATGAATTGTTTTATCCCCTCCCCCATGGAATTCCGAAAAATTGTGCCATGGAGAATGTGAAGTGTATAACTGAGAGAAGTAACATACATCTGGTAGCTTGTTACTTGAGAGAAAGTGTCTTTTTTTTTTCTTTTTAAAAACCAAAATGTAATTATTATAAAAACAAGAAGAATGCCTGCTCCTGGTGATTCTTTTCAATGGAAAAATATTTGACAAGATAACAGTGACATAATAAATGTGCCATTTTTCCATGTGTCGTTTGGTGTTTTGCCCCCTCCCCCCCCCTCTCTTGCTCCCTTATTTGTTCTCCGGTCCTTTGGTTATTTTGTGGTTTTGAAATCTGTCATTTGATTCCATGCTACCGTTGTACCATGAGTTTGTACAGAGGCAGGTAATGTTGGAACTCTCATGTTCAGAAATGCCATTTGACCACCTCCTGCATCCTGTCTTCCAAGACATATTTCAGTATTATTCCTGTTCTCCATCTTGGTCTTCAAGCATTATGGTACTGAATTTTTCCTTGCCAAAACTGTGTGTGTAGTTATTTCTTTCTATCAATTCAGCACACGTAACATTTCTCACTGGTGAACCATCAGTTGTTCATAACAACAGTGTCTTTGTACACATTATCTTTAGCCATTTCAATGTAGTCCCTGTCTTGTTTCCTGAAGGCCCATTTTAATAATATCCTCCAACACCTTCGTCTCACAGCGAAGTTATCTCTGATGTTGCCGTCTCTCACAGATGGACCTGAATAATAATTTTTTACTCATATTCATTCATATTGTGTTCTTCAGGGTTGTGGTTGTTGCATTTGGTCCTAAGGCATCTGGATACAAAATTTTGATTGTTACAAAAACATGTTTGAATTTGGTGGAGAAGAAAATCTTTTGACACGCCTGTGTGCAGTTTGGAATGTGCGTACATACGATGAGATTGGATCAAGTTACTTTCGGGATGGGAATCAGTGGAGAGGTGCAGTGTTTATGCTTGAAATGTACACTAACATGTCTTGTATTTTTATTCAGACCTTCTCATTGTATATACATATGTATTTACAGCAATAGCTTTCGTTAAGCAAAAATTAAGTCTTATATTTTGGTAAAACAGTGCTTCAGTTAGGTTCTTGATGTTAAAGCAACACAATTATTAAAAAAAAAATCTATTAGCACAGCTGGAAGTTACAAAGTCTGTGGCTGATCTTTGAAACAATTCACGATTCATACCAGTACCACCTACGCCTCATGTAAACTGTTAACGTGTTTCGGTGGTTTGGAAATTGATTTTAGTTTTCCATTCAAGACTGAAAAATAATGGAAATGATCATCGGTCTTGATCTTTTAAATTGAGAAAAGACCGTCTGCGACTAAGCTCGACGTCTTGAAGGCAGTACAGGCTCCACATGTGTATGCCATCAGAACCACTAGGACAAGCAGGGGTGATACTAAACGGACAGAAATGGCCCTGCACCATGTACCTTGCACGACCTGATGCGTGAGGCAAGGAGGGTTGTCGTGAAGAGCAACGAAGTAGAGAGATGGAAGTACAAGTGGCTAGATTAGACTATAAATGTTTGGGAGTAAGAACACTGCAAGCAAACTAAGGTGCAAGCTGTTTCTGTGGGTTTATAGGTGATACTACAGTGTGCGTAAATAGAGAATTGCTCATTATGGTATTTGAAAAAGGAATAAAATCATCACATGAATTATATTCATCATTCTTAATATCAGGCTCATCAGTAAAAGTAAACTGTCCCACTATTTGCCATGAAGTTGCTTGGGGATTAGGAATTGTAGCACCTCGTTCTTGACTTTGGCACTAGGTGGATGTGAATGGTGCTATGCTTTACCCCCCAAAGGAAGGGACCCCGTAGCCAGTCTGGATGCGGAGGCTACAATAATAATTCTTTGTGTCTGCCAGAGATCTGAGCTACCCTGTCTCCTAGTCACATCAGTTTCAGTCTTTTGTCTGCTCATTTGCCGCGTATAGACGAGACTCGTTCCTTGTTTAATGCGTAGTCAATCTTAACTTGTTTGTTTGTTTGTTATTCACTACATGCTTTGCCATGTTTAATTCAGTGGAATACAGTAATATTAAATGTTCCTTGTCATGCATAATACACTAAAATGTAGCATATAAAGGGCCCTTAAATTAAGTTAAAATTAATTAATTATCATCTGACATATTTAGTAACAGATTTCCATGTGGAACCACCTTCTTACATAAGAGGCTACAGGATCACTCGAATGGCTAATTTCAACACAAAATTCATTCATTCACTGCCTTCCATGAGCCTGCGTATTGTTTTTCTCGGACAACAGAGCAGATGAACCGCGTGAAACATGATGAGTAATCACAAGCCCATGTCACTTGATTGCTATGGAATATTGCTTCAGAAGGACTTTTGTATTGCTTAGTAGTTTAATATGATATATCCAAGTTTTATCTTTGGCATTAAATTAAAATTATACAGTTTAAAAATAAAGCGCAGAGAAACAATATGAAGGAATACATTCCTGAGAAACTTTACAATTGCTATTCATATTGAATCTTGTCGTGGTTAATTGCAGTTCTTTTTGAACCCACTCTACTTGAATATGTGGCAGACAGCGTGTTCACAGAGTCTGAAGTCCTATGTAGTTGGTCCAGATCCCAGTGATGCTACACAACACGTGATTTCTGCCAGTTTTAAAAATTTTGAAGGACCTCCACAGTGCGAGATCTGAAATTGTCACAGCGGCAGTGTCGATGTTCTTCTGAAGAACATTCTATATAAATAGAATTAAAAAATTATCTTTTACATTCTAAGTACAGCACTCTGTATTTGCAATGACATACAATATGCTACGCATCTGATACATTTTTCATTTTATACCAATATAAAAGTTTATAACGTTCGTCGTCGTCTCTGAAACTCTACCATAACCGTGATTTTCTGGTGTAAGTCAATTCTGCAGTGGCGAATCTTTGATATGGATGACTGGAAGAGATGTACAAGGACAGTAGAACAGCATCACTCTCCCAATGACAATGTGAAATGAAATGTAAGCTTCAGAAGAACAGGTTCGTCCTTCTCTACTCTTTGCTTGTTTCTAGACGAGTATGTGTTGCGGTAACTGCCTTCCTTTTATGCTGTGGCGTTTGTTGCGACTGTTGTTCCTCACGTTGCTTCAGGTCTTGGATAAGCGGTGATATTTCTGATATGGGTGTTCCTAAAACTTCTTCACACGCATCTTGTATCTCCTGATCCAACATCAATGATGAAATCTGGTCATCAGTTAACATCTCCACACTGTAAAAACAAAATAGCTCCCTTCTTAATATGCCACCACGAAAGCACACACTAATATCAATGTGGAAATTGTAAGTTATGGGAAATGATTTGGATTATGAAATCGTCCAAGTCATTTCCTAACACGTGCTTACACACTACTGTATTTTGGAACACCACACTGAAGAATGTCATATCTTTTCTTTGGGAATGCTCCTGAAACCTTACCAGGGAACGTCCTCAGTTGCATAGACGAGCATGGAAGTGAGAGACTGGGAGTCAGTCTCTGGCTACGGTGACAGTTTTTAAATTGCCATATTCAGTCCCTTCCTGCCTGTACCCAGTGAGAACTGCGTGCTGTATGGTTCGCGTGTTTTGGTAAGATTTTTAAAGATCACGTGCAAAGTAAGACTGAACTGAGTGTAGCTCACCTAGCAAGACTCTCACTGTCAGATGTTGAGTCGTCTTCAGCATTGAGGTATGTCATAGACTTCTCCAGCGGTGATGGCACTTTCTTGGTGAGGATACTTCCCTTCCCCTCTGAAATTACAACTTTATGTAGAAGTGCTATTACCACAAGAAGTTACAGGACTAAACAAAAGAGGTGACAGTATCCATCCCATCTCAGAAATTTGTACATCCATAATTTTTATATTATTGTAGTGACATGACCAAGTTTCATAAAAATAGGTGACC